CAGGAATAGAAGCAAAAGAAAAGGGAAATATGAGGCTATATGTCTTCACTCCAATAAAAATGTGCTTTTACTAAAGTACAATATTGTAGCTCTGTACCATAAACAGTGGTAAATGAAGTGTCGTACTCAGTACAATATGACGTAAAATCCTAGTGGAGATAAAGTACTGTTTATATTTAGATATAGCTAGTCAAGGTTAACCTCAAGTGAAGGATATATGGTTGACTTTGGCTAGCTACGACAAAACAAATACTACCTGTGCCTGATCTCCAATAGATCTTTCCACTAAAATGGTTGTCACAACTTGGCTATCACGATGTGGAAAACATCACATTTTGTATAGCAAAGAGGTAGTCTAACAGGTAAGGCAGCACCTACTAGGTTCAACGATATGATCACACTTTTCATTTCTTTGTTTTCCTCAGTCTTTAAATGAGGGCAACAATTCCTCTTTTGTTTGTGCTATAAATAATAGGTTGTTCTGCTACGCTAGAAATGAAACTAAATGAAGATGGTACTCTATATATTGATGTGCTTCCTGTCTTGTTTACGATAAAAACTGTACTGTTTTTAGAGGGGACGTGTTCTAAGAAAAGCTTTTAGAACAGGTTCAGAAGTATTAAAGCTATTTCAAGATGAGGACATTTCTACCCTTTATTTCCTTAGTCCTTGAAAGGGCTTTTTAAATGTTAACAGCTATGACTGCCTTTCTAAACTGATGTACCCTTCTCAGTTCTCTCCCTTTGTAGCTATCTTTTTGTCTCTTCTTAGCTTTTCTCCTCTTTCCCCTCTCAAAACAAAAACTGATAAGAGATTAACCTTGAACTTTTGGTTGGTATCATGATACAAAAATGTTGCATGGTGCACTGAGAGTAAGAATTCAATTAAAAATGATCCTTGCCTTACATATATATTGTATTTTTTCCCATGCTCCCTTGTGGTAGTATCTATTGCAAATCACTAATAATAGAAGTAGGTGAGAAAGCAGGACATACCAGAAGTATTTTCAATTAAAAATTCTGAGAGAAATTGCTTATCTTATGACAGAAATGGCACACATTTCAAAATAAATTGACATTTTTAACAATTTTTTATTTTAAAAGGCTGTTTTTGAAAATAGGTTTCAAACTAAAAACTTTGAAGTTTCACTGCTAAGCTTTCTTGTAAAGTGTTCTGAAAGAGTAACTACTTTGATGATCAGAAATTAATTAGTTATAATGAAAAATCCTAAACAACTTGAATCAAAAATTCCTAAATGCTATGAGTTTTATACATGCTAACTTGTTAGCATGTTACCCAACAACTATAGTCCAATTAAGCTGCAGTTAATACTTAGCCCATGTATAGCGCTTTGAACATGCACTGTGCAATCACTAATTAATCCTCATAAAGTTGATATGTTATCTTAATTTCACAGACAACGCAGAGAAGTGAGATAACCTGCCCAGGGCTGCATAATAACTCAGTGGCCCAGCCACAATTGTGATACAAGTTCTGACTCCCAATTCCATAGTCACTACTTTAGACAAGGGGTTGGCAGCCTACAGCCCACGTGCTAGATCCAAGCTGCAAAGAGGCTGAATCCAAAACGGAACAGGATGGAGAATATCAGGCAGCATGCAGCTGCAATCTAGCTATCCCCCCTCGACAGGTACCTTGAGTTGGGGTGGGGAGTGGTAATTTACAACCTACAGCAAGAAGCTGGGTCAAGCTCTGGCCCCAGGAGGCAAAAAATTGCCAACTCCTGCTCCAGACCATACTATATACAGTTACCTACTAAAATAAGATCGATGTCATGTAACAAGTTCTTCAGAAGACCTTGCAGAAGCATTTCTATTTAAACTCTGTGCTTTCCCATACTTACAACTTTCCAAAACAATCTTTTGAACTAAAATGTTCTATGCTTCTGTCTGCAAAATATCTATTCAGCAATTTTAAAATTCAGGTTAGGTGGAAGTTCTAGCCATATTTCTTTCAAGATCGATGCCAACACTATAACATATATTACTGATACCTGAAACTTGGCTGATTCAAGAGATTATTCTTTATTTATAATTTATTTCTAGTAGTTCCCAGAAGGTATTGGGTGTTTTCCAAACAGAAAAGATAACACAATTGCCATCGAGAATGGAGCGCACTATATAAACATGGAAAGCCAGACAGAATGCTGAGGAAAAGGGTACAATGTATAAAGAACAGCAAGATACATATCTGATTATTCATCTATTTTTCATAATAATGGTGTAACATATTTAAACAGAACTTTTGAGAGAGAATCTCAAAACACCCTTTTTGCCATGCTGAAGCAAGCCGTTTATTCTTGCCCTGTTGTCCGTCTCTTTTAATTAGCTACTGTTCTAGTGCAGAATTGTACTCTTGCCTCATGACTATTTAGTTTAATAGGCTCTTGTGAGTGACCCAGTCAAAGGCTTTTGGAAAGTCCAAATAAATACTTGTTATGCTTTACAAAATGAAATAATTCTGGCAAATCAAAATAGACAAAGGAATGCTCTTTGACTCCTGTAACTTCCATCT